GTTGGTTTTTGTGTGCAGATTTATGTAGAAAAGTATGCCTAGTTACCAAGACAAATACATATATATATATATATATATATATGTGTGTGTGTGTATTTGATAAAATTCCATATATTTTGGAATACAAACTTTAATTATATATTCTTGATTCATGTTTCATTAAAAGTCAGTGGAAATTAGAGGAGAGATGATCTAGGAAGGTTTCAACCATGTGATACATACATATATACATCTACACATACATATACATATAATTTAATTGGTACGTATTGTATGAGTTCTCTTTTTCGTCACATAACTAACTGTGGAAATTCTCAAAGGTAGTGTCTAAATGGGCTTCAAGTGTCTTGATTAAAACCCACATCAAATAAAACAGAGGCAAGTACTTCACAACGAGGCCTAAAAAATTTCCATCATTCTCATCACTGGTGCAGACATCTGAAGTACCCCCTCCCCTAAAAGTTGCTCCCTCCTTAAACGCGTTTGGGGGGGGGGGGGAGGGGAGGAGGAGGGTACAAAGCCATTCTTCTGAAGCGTTCCCAAGGGAGGGAGGGAGGGAGGGAGGGAGGGACAGAGAGAGATAGAGTACAAATACGAAGGGAACAGGTTCCCGCATGGTCCCGTGATAGGGGCACGGGCGTTGGCCCTGCGGGGGGGACGGCATACCGTGGGGGTGGGTGATGATTTGGGCTCTGCCACGACGAGGCTCCTCTCTCATCTGCATGAGCGTGCGGTGCTCAGACCCATAATAACACCCCCCCCCTTCCTCCATTTTGACAGACATGGAGAGCGATCGACAGAGACCAGGCAAGCAAGCGCTGCAGGGCTGCCTGGCTGGCTCGCAGGCGTCAAGGATGCGGGCCCCACATCCGGACATGTTCTCCGCCCTCTTTCGGTGCACTGGGTGAAGCGCAACAAGTCGCAAACTAACTTCAAGCCCAACTTGAAGCCTCGCTCTCTCACGCTGAGCCCATCGCCCATCCTCCCCTGAGCGATTGCCGGGACATTGAACTCTCCGATCTCCGTCTCCCTGATCACATTTGGAAAATTGCATCACGTGATGGAGGAATTGGATCTCGTCCATTATTAGATCGGAGATGCACCTGCGCAGGCACACGCCTCTGGCTAGGAATTCCGGAACGCATCGCACCTCTCAGCTCCGATACATACAGGGTTTTGGGGTTTGGATCTGAAAACGTAGTTCACAGCAAGCGTGTTCCTCTTTCGGTTTCACAATAGTTTCGTTGGAGTTGCACATGCTAATCTGACTTCTCGTGTGGATACATGGAATTATAATCTTAGTGAACAGTGTTAACTGTACCATGAATATGTGTGTATGAGAGCGAGTGTATGTACACAAACAAACAAAAACAATAAATCTGTTCTTTCTAATTTGGATAGAAAATAGAGATTGTGTTTTTACTCTGGATCAACATTTTACTTTTGAATCAAGAAACATCGCATAATAGTTGCATACAAAAATGTAGTTTTTATTTCCATGTGTTAAAGAACTCTTGTAAATATGAAATCTTAATTGAGTTGCTATAAGTTAGAATAAGAGTACAACGTTGACAACTGTTGACAAGCATGATGGTTTGTTTCTATCTTCTTTTTCATTTTTCCATTTTTCCATTTTTTTTCACTCTCTGTCTTAAAAAAAAAATTGGGCAACTACTGATATATATATATATATATATATATATTGTTTTTTCATTTGTTGTTATTGAAATAGGTAAAATTACGAACGGAAGTCACTGCTAATGTCACATTCTATTAGTACAATAATTCACAAAAATCTAAATGATTAAATATTAAATAGAAGTTGTGTAACAATAGCATGTTTTTATTTAAATAGTGATCATGTGAAACATTTGAGACAAGTTAAAATATGCCTCCTAAATAAAATAAAAAATATTTTGATACTAAATAATACATTTAACAAATTATAATTAATAAATATATAAAAATATCCAATTAAAACAGCAAGAAAAACACAAGTCTATGGTCAGAATTCAGTCGCAACATTTCAAAAATTGAATGTACAATACCATGCACAAAGTTGTTTCAATTTCTTTATTGTTGTATCTTTATGTGCACGCCTGTGGCTGTGTAAACGTGAAAGAAACCGAAAAGAAAAAGAAAAAGGAATGTAATCTAACAATGCATGTGTGTAAGAGAATAACTAACTTATATAATGAAAGGGACTCTCTAATGATTACGTTGATAACAACGAATGAGAAATGCATCCAATGAAAGGGTAGCCACTTGCATCCAACAAACTCCCTCCCACCCCATTGATCACCGCCCGTGTGGACAGAACCCTGCCACAGAATCTTGCATTGGCCCCTTCTGGGAACCGTGCGGTACTGCACGGTTCCACAGCCTCGGTGCTCCAGGTAGCATGGGCGAGTGGGAATACGTCACAGGGCCTCTCCCTTTTGTCCTATCGCCTTTGGCTCTCGCCTTGTCACAGGTGGGTTTGTACCTCCCCCCGTCTTGGATCAGTACCTCCCTTGGGCTTGTAGGTACCTGCAGGTCTCTGACGAGCAGGCTGGAACCCCGTCATTATGTAGAACCAAAGCTTTTGACGAGTATCATTGCAAAGAGGAATCTCTTCTCGCCTTCAATGGGATCAATTGTGGAAGTCTATTGGCTCTCTAGTTCTCACCATCTCAATTGGACAACTGTGTGGCTTTGCCCTAAATCCAACTGGGTCCTTTGAATTTACTTCTTATTTGTGTGTGTATAGGTATTTTTTTAATAACTTCTTAACTATTCAAATATATTTAAATGAATGAATAAAAAGTCTAAAGAGTAACACAATAAAATTCTACATACATGCTCGTGAATCAACGTATCTAAATACACCTTGGTCCAAAGTAATAATATAGGATGGAATGTAGAATTTTAATAGAATATCTGTCAATGACATCAATTTCAACATACAATATGTTACATTCTAAAAATATCATCTAAACCATGCGTTAAAATGTGTGTTAATGTAACCACACATGATATGAATGTAAAACAATGTCTGTAATTTAACTCTGTGGTAGAAGACACAAAGATGTTTCAATAAAAGTTCAATATAATTAATTGATGGTTAGAGCAACAAACACATTTGCACATTACACCCAGTTTTGATTGTTTATGTTGCCACCTAGCTTTACAAGTATTATAACAGAAACATGATCTATTTGTGTGTCATGGCCATACATACACCTGTATGGTCACAGATTCAAACAAATAATTGAAATGTTGTCAATAGTTGTACATCATCCAGTATCTATTTTTATACATGAACAAAAGTGAAGATATCATGGTACTTGAAATCAAAGTCTTGTTCAATACATGCATAGTTGTGGACTGTCTTCTAGACATTCCAATCACTCAATTTCTTCAACAGGTAATCTGGCAGGACAGGGGCTTGCAAGCAGGGGACAAGTTGATGTTACCAGTGCATATTACTTTCCATTTTTCATAAAATTACCTTCTATATTACCCAAGTTTTTCAAACTATAGCAGAATTTGTCTCTAGTGCAATAGTTGCACCACTTTCTCATTTACCCTGATTTATTCCAGATTGGAAATTTAATTAAAAGAACCTCTAAGTTTCAAAATGCCCATTAGTTAACTCTACAGGTCATTTTGGCGTCTTATAGCCGGTGGATCATGACACGTTGCCCACTCTGAGCCGCTCATTGGGAGGCCCCCAATAAAAGGAAATCGGGCTTGGGATTTGAGCTGGGGTCTGGCAAATCCTTTGACCATGATGAATGAAAGTAGATGGTTGACATCCACCTTTTTCAAACCATGTGCTTTCTCTAAATACGCCACATCCCAATTGTACATCGGATTCGGGACCCCATTCCCGTGAAGGAGTACAAATGGATGAATGAATATCTGACGAAGTTCAACGTCAGTGACCTGGTTTCATCCATCGTTGGCTGAAGGGTCGGTTCGCCGTTCCTTTTTCAGTCAGGTGCTCTGGGCATTGAATTCGTAAATTTTCTCTGCATTCCGTGGGCAACAGGGAAATAATATATATATATATATATATATAAGTAAAAGGATTAAACGAACAGAAGTTGACTTTATGACCATGCTGATGCAAAAGCACTCTGATCTGTACGCAGGCTTGGGGGTCAGACCTACCTGTTTTAAGCCTGCCACCAGAGTTATGAATATCTAAGCACGTAACCTACATCTCACACGGCTTTACGATGTGGACTTCTTGTAATATCTACTGAGACTGGCGACTTTAACCACTGGTGGATGCTCCACTGCTAACTTAAATCAAAATTGGGAACCAATTTAGAACCCCCATTTCATTCAGATTTATGCACACTCTCTCTCACACACACACCAATTACTTAGTTGAACGCCAATTTGATACGCTATTCTTTTGAGGTTTAAAATTTTCACATTTCATGACATGCCATGTTAGAATTGGTGGAGAGAAAGAAATAAATAAAACGTAATAGTGCCCAAAGGGTGGTGATATATTCTAACGTCTGCAGTGATCATCTTCAGCGCAGCCTAATCTCAGAATGAGGGTGTGGGTTTGCTAGAACACAAATAAATAGTATGATTTTTGTAACAAAAGTGGCGTCTTGGATGTTGTTCCTTAGTTGAGTTTGTTCCGATTCAATTCTCACAAAATGTCCTCACAAATCGACGCGCTGTTTCTTCGTGGAGCGGCGACGGAGGTTGGGGGAATGCACAGCTTCCGCTGGAGACGAGGTAGTCTGGAATTCTACACCGTCAATAATGGCGAGAGGGGAGATCACCGTCCGCGGGGGTTGGGTTGAGAAAAGAGCAGGCCAGGGACAGTAATTCCCTCTGAAGCAACCTGGCAGCATCTTCTCTCCATTGGCCACAGAGAAGGGGGCAGAAATTTTCACCGAGTTGGTCGCAGAATGAGCAGCTACTGGAATGTTGCTATAGTGTAGCCGCTAGGCTAGGCTCGTGGCGGATGGCTTGTGGCTTGTGCCAGTGCCACCCTCTGTCCCTTCTCCCAGACGCAGAGATTTCTTATAGGAGGGCCCCTGCACATTTTTTCTCTTCATAAAGAAATAGGGTAGATTGCAGTTGTGAGCCTGTCTCCTCGCAGGTCAAGGTGATAGGGCTCGTCAAGGTAGGGTGTACCCAGGCTGATGCCATTGATCCCACGTTTGTCGAATCGGTCGGAATTCGGTATGCAAGCTTCAGCATCCGTAAAGTTGTCCGTGCGTGCGTGTTTGTTCTTTAGCTTCAGGTTAAGTCCAGGTATCGTTCATCTTGTGAAGGGGAGATTGAGGTGATGGCGAGGCATTGAGATTGCGATAGTTTGTAGAGCGACGGGGTGGGACGCTTAGTACACAAGGTCGAGCAGTGGAAGGATTACTGGGGTTCAGTAATGCAGTTTATCTCAATTGGCGTGGAGTGAAGGAGTTGTAGTATGCGTTGTGTGTCCCTGCTTCTTTATCTGAAGGGACCCGAATGCAACACATGATTTGTCTCACTAGTAATATTTTTCCGACATTCATCTGCGCAAGGATCGTGGACGAAATAATATATATCAATTAAGTTGTAGAGAATTACATGAAACTTGTTGAGTAGTCAGCCTCGGTGAGTTGAAACTGAGAATCAGTAGCTCTGAAGTGACCGAGAGCTGGTGCGAGGAGGAGCACGATTGCTCGTCGGTTTTGATAATGGCTGTCTTAAGAGGCTTTCTTCGGAATCCCTTCAACTGGTAGTTTGTACTTGTGTACCAGTTTTTGTGAACTTCCTGAGTACTAAAAGAAATAAGAGGCATCGGTGGGCGTGGTGACTGACTGCAGCGAAGCGTTTTGTAGAAGAGGAGTGGTGGAGGGATTCAATAATATCGCTGAGATGACGACCAAGGGAGCTAGCAGGTCGGCGGCTACGGCAATGGCAATAGCAGGACGAGCGTCGCGAGCATGCGACGTCTGCGCCAGCAAGAGCGCACGTTGGTACTGCGGTGCCGATCGAGCGTATCTCTGCGACAAGTGTGACACGCAAGTGCATTCCGCCAATGCTCTCGCGCGACGTCATGAGCGACATCGCCTCACCCCAAGCGGAGTCGCAATGCAACCAGCTCGAAAACCCGCCGCTGACTTGATGAAAGATAAAACATTTTCACAGCGAAAACATACCATATCTAAGAAGACGCACGCATCTCCAGTGCAGGTCCTGCCACCCAGAAAGCGATCTAGGACCAGTAGACCTCATCCTCATCGTCAAGCTCAGCACATTACTGAAGCCACACCTGCTTCGAAGCTGCACAATGCGAAGGATGTGGAGGTGGAGGACGAGTTCTTGACGGTCACAGACGCTTTTGATACTGAGGATTTCCTCGTGGACGATACCCAAGAGGTGCCGTCGCTCATCACGGTGGCCCAGGACTCCTCGCCGTCGAGCTCCGAGTTGGATTTGTCGTCCGATTTCTCTCCTGAATTGAACAGCGACGCTCAGGGAGGTAGCAGCTCTCCATCTTCAGACTCATTTGTTGCCTATTTCAAAGGAAAAGCGGCTCAAGATGACTGCTTCTCCGACGACGTCATGTCGGACCAGTTCCTGGTTCCCGATGCATTCGATGACGGGATCAATATCTGCTGCGACATGGATGGCAACATTAGTCTTGCTGGAGATGCGTGTTTCATCTCTGGTGATATTCCGGGACTTGACGGGTTTGAGGATTTTGGGTCCCGAGAATTGAGTAATAACACGTACAGTTTTGACCTTGCTCTTCGTGATAGCTTACCGGGGGCTTTTGAGGGAGATGGCGCGGCTACGTCTGACGCGAGAGGTATTTTACTTGGGAGCACACGCTCACGACCTTCACTCATTGTTTGCTATTTCAGTCCTCCTTCTGCGTTCCAGTTTTTCTATGTGGTGTTTAGATATTTTAACTCATCGCAGTGCAGTAATGCTGATGAACTCTTCCTGTTTTGTCTTTCCATTTCCACAGGCACTTCCCTCAAGCAGAATGTAGTTGGAGTAGAGAATGATCAATTTTCCACTGGTCCTTTCGCCAATTTTTTTGCGAAGAATCGAAAGAGCGAAACAGTGCATTCAAGCCCTGAGAACATTAAGAATGAAGCCAAGGAGATTTTGCGGTGCTGCCTAGAAGGTCTTACTGAAGAAGATATGCGTACAGTTCCCTCCCTAAGATTAAACTATGAAGACGTCATCACTGCCTGGTCTGACAGAGGCGAGCCCTGGGTCAATCCCGAAAATTTCCCTTCTGAGGCCACGGTAGGTGTTGCTCGGGAATCTAGTCACGCAAATCTTCAGCAGGTAGTCGCAGTTTGTTAAGAGCAGTAGCTATTTTGGGCCAAACAAACACACGCACACACACAAACAAACGAAAGAATAAAAGTATTGAGCTCCTCTCTGTTCCTTGGTGCTTCCAGGACGTGGGTCTAGTGCCTGACATGGGGCAGGGAGGTGCCGATGATGGACATGGAGGCCGGGAGGCTAGAGTGATGAGATACAAAGCGAAAAGGCGGAGTCGACTTTTTTCGAAGAAGATTAGATACGAAGTTAGGAAGCTCAATGCAGAGAAGCGGCCTCGTATGAAGGTTAGTTTCCCTTTAGTAGTTACTGCTCAATAGCGTTTTAGAGGTATGGAGCGACTGTTTAGGTTTACACCTCCTTCATCGCTAGCGAAATCGGTTGAAGCTGTACGTCAGGAAGAAGATCTCTGCAGGTGTGTCTTCATCAACGTCATAAACTCTGCTGGGAAATCGATCGTGATATTGAAAATGACTCAAAGTCTCACGAGTGGTTTCCCGCTCTGAACTGCAGGGCCGGTTTGTGAAGAGGACAAAGAGTTCTTGATTAGGCTCCAGTCCCGCCCAACAGCGAGCTCTGCAATGGAGATTTCAGTACAGCCTCGGAGCTCGCATTTCTTGTAGTTTATTAACCCTCACACATCAAAAGAAAGAACATGCTTAGACCCATATAAGGGAGGAGTGTGACGGGAACCTTAGAGGTAGAGAGGGTGAGCATAAACCATGGTTTGGTGTAAGTTTGTGATGATTTCAAATCACGTGTAGACACTCCCAAGGTAGCAATGGACGGACAGCGGCGACTATGACTGCGATGACGATGACAGCTGAACTAATTGCAGCATCTTGTGTGTTCTGCCGTCATTGCGATGACGTTGAGTTTAGTAGAAGCCGATTTCTGCGAAGTAAGCAACGCGGTGATACATACGTAGGACTTACGTGAATGGAGGTGGTGATGATCTTCTCAAGAAGACGAAGAAACTTTGATTGCAGCAGGGAAAATGGATTGGATTCATTGGCAGTCGTGTAGCCCTCGCCGTGATCCTGCGGCGAGGAGAAGGAAGTGGAGGAACAAGAGCTGAAGGCTCTCACCTATCAATGTAGCTCTGCAACACTTGAACATCTAATTTGATGCTCAGTACAAATCTTTTCGTTTTTATTTCCCCGTTTCACAGGGTTCCTACCCAGCCATCGCTCTTGTCGTTCCTCTTCAACTTGAAACTGTCGTTGCAGAAATTGCCAATCTACTGAAGACGTCTTATTTCTCAATGTTACAAACTTGCTCGGATCTCGAAACTAAGCACATTTGTTTGTAAAGCTTCGTTGTTTCATGCCCGTCTTATACCCGTTTCATGCCCACTTCACGCCCAATTGCTGTTCTCATTTATGGATTTTGTCCGTCTAGTGACATAGATAGCCCTAATTCTTGACAACAAAGGTGAAATCCTGCATGGCCCAGGTCGTAGAGATATGTATCGGAAGGTGCCCTTGTAGCCATTCTGCATAAAATTGTCTCTTGGTACTAGGCGATGAGCTGTTTCATCCATCATTCACGCCCTTACAGGAAGTAATTTTTGCAGATTTCACAATGAACCATTATTTCTTTCTTTCTTTTGGAAAACTTGGCTATTATTACTGTTATTAGGGAGTGGCTAAAGCAACAGACCCATGTTGTTGAGGCTACTCCCCACTTGGGTTCTCTTGATTAATTGATATGGTTGTCACACCATATCTAGCTACATCACCAAAATCCATCAACATTAATTTATATGGTAGAGAAGAAAAAAGATTGACAAAGGCTCTACATTAGATTGCAACACCATGGGATGATTACAGATGCATGCATCTAAACTTGTTAAAATTGGATTAACAAAAGATTGTATTCAAATACATAACATAGATGGTGTCTTAATTACTTTTAATCTTTTGCTTTGTGCTACCTTATGCCCTTTGGACAAATCTTTGCATCAACAAATTAGCCATAAATAGCATTATGTGTTTGCATCTTAATGATATAAAAGAAAGTAAAGGAAGGAAAGAGCTCTAGTAATGTTGTTGTGTGGTAATACAACTATATGGTGAAAAATAAAAATATGGATATTATTATAGAAGAGTCTCATAGAAAGATATAATAGAAAAATAAGAATAGATAATAGGAAGGTAGTAAAATTTTTAGACTTAATGCTACATTTTATAGAAGAGATTTCTATTTACTTTGTAGGGATATAAATGAGCTAAATCGAAGTAAATAAAATGAATAATTGATATAGGCATATTTAAGAGAAGGTTAAGAATATGTTTTAGTAAAAATTACCTCAAAATATGAAGTATTGATACCTAGAGAGGATTAGTTGTGAACCAAGGTCAAAACCAAATCACAAGGCACAAAACTACACACCTATAGTAACTTTAGGATTCTTTGGTTGATTAGAGAGTGAGATTTGAGAGCATATAGGAGAAAAGTTCTTTAAACAGTGGCTTGAAGTAATTTAAGTATGTAACAACTTTATAAAGACTTTATAAAGTTAGGGTTGTTTTTGAGTGACTTTGGATTTTGATAAATTCAAAGAGTTTGCAATTTGGATAATTGTGTGAAATTTATAAATGATTTGTAAGTAAAATTTTGTAATTAAGTGATAATTATATTGTGTAATTTGTGTTATAAGTTTGAGCTTGATCTTTTGGTTTGTTTAAAGTTTATTAAAGCTCAAACATATTGAAGCCTTAGAAATTAGGATTTAGAAGACCAATGTAGATTTCTCAAATATTTGACGATTTGTTAGTTAGATTGAAATAAAATTTTGTATAAAAGTAGTAAACTTGATTTTAAAAATTAAACATAGTTTGAAATCTATTGAACAATGTTATTTAGAAATTTTGGCTCTAAAATATTGACATCCAGGTTGGAGAAAGAGGCTAGCTTTATGTAAGCAAATTTTAGGAGTTATTTTCTATATGATATATTTGATCTTCTTCAAATTTTTATTATACTTATTGGCAACTTGGTTATTGAGAAGTGTGCTAATTTTGAGTTGAAGTTAATGATTCAATTATAAATTATTGAGATTTAAATGTGTTGTTGGATTTATTAAGAATTCAATTAAGATTTAAGATTTGATTAGGATTTGATTAAAATTCATTAAATTTTTATTAGAATTAATTTAGGATTTGATTGGGATTTAATTAGAATTTAATTAGAATTTGATTAATATTTATCTAAGATTTATTTAGAATTTATTTAATATGCTTATTTTTAGTATTTGAAGGATTTTTTATTATTTATTTAAAATTTTATATTTCTAATAAAGATTATTTTTATTTCTTTAGGATTTTATTTTATTTTATTTTATTTTTGAGAATAATTTATTATTTCTTTATGTTTCTTTTTTAATTTCTTTTAAATTCCTTTTAGACTTATTAAATTTTTATTATGGTTATTAAAGATTATTTAGAATTTATTTAAGATATTATTAAATTTGAAAGGATTTTTTTTGTTGTATTTCTATTTATTTTCTACAATTAAATACTCAATACATTCTTAAGCAAGAATATACATAATATGACATAAATGGTGAATTTAATGTGAAAGCTTTAGGTAGAATATCTTAAAGTTTGTTTATTTTTATTTTGATTTAATGAAAAAAGATAATAAGAGATTTGAAGCAGCTATGGAAGGAACTTCAAATAGAATTGCAAGTAGAGCTTCTAATAGAGCTTTGATTGAAGGAAAAAGTATATATATGGATTTAACAATTGTAAATATGTTTCAAGTTTTTATATTGTCTATATAGTAATAGCAAAGCAATAATTGTAAGGAAGCTTTAACAACTATAACATTAAAAGCAATAGTTTACAAAATTGACAAATTTGGTAGAAGAAATATTTTAAATTATTTAAGAAGTTGCATATGGAAAATGGAATTAAATAAAATTTCTAAGAAGAAGATGATTGAACTATATGGACTTACCACTATAATGGAGATAAAAGAACAAGTTACATTAATTATGAAGCATTATGGGAGTTCATGGGAGATATTTTTACATGCATTAAAAGACAAATATTTCTTAAAAGTCATTGATTGTATTACTAAGAAATTATTTCTAGACTAGATTAAGTAGCATAATAAAAAATTACAAGCAATAGAGCTATTAAAGGAGTTTGAAAGATAATATTTTTAATTATTGAAGGTAGAAAAGTTAAATTTGGAGCCAAACAAGGTTGAATCATTTTTTTAAGGTATCAATGAAGAATTATACAAAAAATTGGAATTACATTTTAAAGACAAAGAAGAAGATGAAGGATTAACAACAAAGTGAAGAAATATTGAAGATGCTATAGGTTTACTTGCAAAAAGAAAAATGAAGAAAGATAGAATCAACATTCAAAGAATAATATAAGTAATTTTATGTGCATATGACATAATTGACAATGTCTATTATTCAATTTCCAATGTCTATATCAACAAAAGAAGATATGGAGGTTGAAGAGATTATACATAGGAATAAAAGATCTTCAAATTAAATTAACAAAAATTAAAGAAAAGATTCTATAAATAATTTGAAGGTTATTTTAAAATAAAATTATGTACAAATATGCATTTGATATGACAATTCTTCTCATACTAGAAAATATTTCAATAAATTTAATGACATGGTGCAACAAAGAATTATTTTTTGGAAAGATAGAGAAATAGAAAGAAAAAAAAAGAAGAATAGAGAATCCTAGATCTAAGCTGAATTCCTATCGACAATCCAAAGGCTTGCAATAATTAGCTTGATTCTTGGATATTCATATCTAAGTTTGTTGATACCATGTTGATGCATGTACTAATACACATGCCATATTTGTATGCCATATATCTTATACCTTGCAATATTCTGGATCCATATAATATTTCATATTAATATTATCTATACACCATCTTCAGTACCATCTAATATAATATCAATATTGTATTTGGTATGTATTCAGAATCATATTCTTCTATATATCATCCAGCAATTGTTCGTGGTATTGTACCACATATTATATTGTATGAAGTTTGTATTTTATATAAAATCTAATACTATATCTAATATCCCATATTCTATGATATATGGTATAGATTTCAGATTGAATATTGTCATGTTTTACCATATATACTAGAATTGTGAAGATTTTGGATTCCTTCTAGATGCTCTTAAGATATTAAAATTATGCCACTTAAATTCCTTCCAAAATACCTTCTACAATTGGACTTTCTTATTAGAATTTCTATATTAGTCATATTTTTTTTCTTAACTTTAATTTGCTTGTATGTAACATTTTTTATTTAATCTTTCATCTAATAATTGCACTTGGCATTTTAATTACATTCTTTTTGTTCTAACACAACAAGTGAGATATTTTGGTAACTCACATAATGTCTCCAATATCATCTTATCCTTGTATTTCCATTTTTTTGTAATTATGATCTACAATGATTGTTTTTACCTTCATAGATGTGATAATATAAGACATGGCCATAGATGTTCCTCTTCTTGACTAATGATTTTTGTTTTGGTCAATTTTGTTCATCGTCAATATTAGGTGGTTCTTTTGTTTTTTTGTTTTTTTGTTTTGTTTTGTTTTGTTATTTTTTGTTATTTTTTTTTGTTATTTTTAATTCAACGTTGCTGCTTTTTTTACATTGCTCTACGAAAAGCCATTGTTTTTTTTAAAGTAAGCGATAGAGGCTTCGCTTTGCTCCTAATTTTTTTTCTATGATCAGTCAATGGAATATTATTGTGCCAATGTAGTAGGCAAAATTAATTTTTTTCTTGTTGTTATTTGTAACAGAGTTCTATTGAAGAGTATTGTTCTATATTTGATATTGGCATATGAGTTTTTGCTTCCAAATTATGTAGAAGTCTGATCTAAAGTTGCCAAAGAAGCCTTGTTATCAATGTGACTTGATCTTGGAGTTGATACAAAGAAGGTGCAAGGACTAAATCATTTTTTTTTTTTTTTTTTTTTTTTTTTTTTTCTATTGATGGCAACTTCAAGTTGCAATGGCATCTAGTTGAATGTTCTATAGTACTTATTATGGTTCTACCTCATTTTTTAATTTATGCCAAAGGAACTTGCCCCTGACAATATAATTTTTTTTTGTATTTATAATAGTATGTATTATTGTAGTAGATTACAATTC